TGAGTGACTGGTTTTCCTTTATGCTGCTTCTTAGCACCTAGTGCTTGTGTCTTCTGGTGTCACCAAAGTAGGCGTTGCCAAAATAACTAACGTGAGGTATCTTGTGTCTATCAAAATGGACATATTTAAGACATATACAGAATTTTCTTTTTAGAGATTCTGGACCAGAGGCATCAAAGATATGGTCTTCTTGGAATTTCTGAATCTTTTTTGAACTAAAAGAGGCAAAACCCTTTTGCTGTGCCAACCCTTGTATGTCCAATTGCTTCAAACAGTGGCTTAGCAATAAGGGTGCAAATCTGCCCAGAGGCTGCTATATCCTCTACCTCTAATGACAGGCCATGGTTTTACTGGCTTGTGTCAGACATTGTGAGATGTTTATCCTATACCCTTTATGAAATGTTGGACTGAAGAAGGTTTTTGGACGCTCTCTCTCTCTAAACCAATTGCTATGCCCAGGAATTAATAAAATCCATATTGAAGTGACAGCTGGTGGACAGAGCTGGCTTCTTCCTGCATTTCTTGTCTCTCTAGTGGCTCATGTTCTGGGCTCAATGCACATTTATCCTTTTATTACAGCATTTATTGATTTCTTTTTCCTCCAAATCTCTGTTTCCTTAAGAATCATAATTGCACTGTTCAAAACCTAACTTGGGTCATATCAGTACTGGTTATTAACGTCAGTCTTTCTTTTTGCTCCTTAATTACTGACCTTCCAAAGACATTCAGCTAAGGAAATAAAAATACAGACAAGTAAGAATATATTTTCTCAAAACTTTACATAGCATCATGAACCAGTTTCTGTGCTACTTTGACAATTTCATATCTTGACAATGTATGTGAGCTCTTATTCTTTATCCATTATTTCTTTCATTTTTCTCCCTCCCTAATTTATATGTATATTTGTCAAGCTGCCAGTGACTTTAGACTGGCTCAGGAGAACAGTGGAAAGTGTGTGTCACAAAGGCAGGGATTCAAATGAACTTTAGAGCAGAAATTCATTTGCTTATTTATTTATTCTGGTTTTATGTGGTAAGTGGCAAGAAGAGGCAAAGACCATTCTTTTCAAGGGAAAGAATTTTAACAGTTGTTTTCTAGGAAGTGGGGTTCAATCATTGTCTCTGTCAGTCTAGTGAGTGATTTCTATTTTGACACATGGAGAAAAGAAAGACCAAGTCTACCTTTGTTTTCTACAACTCTGTAAGCTGGGTCATCCAGGTAATTACAGCTTTACTTAAGAAAGAGACTGTGAGAGAGAAAATCTCTGCTGCTGCTTGTAAGCACAAAGAAAAGACACTTGAGGGAATTAAATTGCATGATGATTTTTATAAGGCATCTGAATCATTTTGCATTCCTCCTCTAAAGCAGAAAATGATGAGTTTAATATCATATTGTAGGATGTAACCTGTAAGTCTCTCAGAAGGCATCTGTGGTATCCAGAGATGTTTGAGCCTGGTTACTCATTATTTTCTGCTTAAAAGCTGAAGCAAATCTGACTATGAGACTCTGAGCCATCTCTCAATTTATTCCCGTTCTTACTTGCAGATGCTACTGCAATAGCAGCTGTAACTGGGATGGGTTCTGTTGTGTAGATACTGACAGATACCCCTGTGGCTTAACAGCAGATAGGATTGGTTTATGTTTTAAGTGTATTTGTATGTGCTCATGTAAATGCATACATCCATTTATTAACTTCATTCTCCCACTAAAATTCTCCCTATCGCAAAGAGAAAAAAATTCAGGTCAGCTCTCTGCTGATTTTTTCTGAAATTCCCATCAGTAGGTGACATTATATATTTAATAAAATGTTAATTCTGTGATCCTGCCTAAATTGCAGGAGATCAGTAATTATGTCAAAATCTTCCAGAGAACTTCAACTGAAATACGGTACTTTATTCCCTAGCTAGCTTAATTTGTAGTGGGGCAGTGGGTGACAGAGTTCCTACACCTAAAGTACTTCTGAATATATATGACTCTAAAGAGGGAAAAGGAAAACCATTATTGTTCAGGAACATATCTTAATTCTTCTGCAAAACTAGTGTGCTAACAAGTTGTCTACTGTTTGAAGCACAAGGTGGCTAACTTTAAGTTTAATGTCCCAGCCAGTGACTAGGCTGTTGTTGTCCATTTTAAGGCCACAATATCTTTGTGTCAGTGAATAAAGAGAATTTTTTCCATTAGGAACTCATGTGTTATATTAACAATGCACTGAATTATTTTGTTCTGTAATGGAGAATGCTCAAGATGTTTCCTTTTGATGAAATAATGAACGTGATGAGAAGAAACGTGAAATACCGAAATACTCTTCTGTTCACATGCAACAGTATCTGGGAGTAGTACATCTAACGAGCAATTACTTCAGCAATGTTTAGCAACTTACTGAATAATCTCAACAAGTGCAAATTTGGACTGTGTTTAGTGGGCAGGAATATATGAAATACAGTTTTTTATAAGTTCAGTAGGAGGGTAAGGAATAATGACCAGAAAAAAAACCCAGTTGAATAGTTATTGTGGGCTGACCTAGGAAATGACCTTTGGAATACATTGTAATGAATGACTGGATAAATGTTTTTAAATGCTTGTCTGGGTGATAAGATATCTGTTGAATGTCATGGTTTCCAAATAAGCCATCTGAGGCTTGATCTTTAGGTGAAGGTGGTATCTGTGAAGGATGCTGTTCCCTCTCAAATAACAATTGTAACCAGACTATTTGAAGATGGTTTTGATTATCAAGAAAGATTTTCAAAGAAACTCCAACACCCCAAGAGATTTTCTAAAACTATCTTGGAACACTTTTATCAGCTATTTATTTAGTGAGAATCCTAGGAGAATTTAGAAAATATCCTCTAGAGATACTGTCTTAGACTAGATGACTTGATGTATCGAATGCTAAGCTGAGGCTCTGGTCACCCATGTTCTGCAAATGAATTTGTTGCTGGATAGCCTCTGGAAAGTTATCTTAGTAATCTGTGCCTCTGAGTCCCTATTTGTAGATACCTTCTTTTGGAAATAACTTGATAACTGTGCATGAATAAGTATAGTATGACACAGCACAAATCATACAGTTTACACCATCACCATTATTTGTGTTGTTTGACACACAGGATACTAGTCTGTCGTTATGTGTCTCACTGTGCTTCTCAGTTACTTTATATTAGTAAATATGTCTCTATAAAGAATTCTGTCTAGTTGTTCTAAAATAGGTATGACTTAGGTCACCAACTTCTCTGAGAAGGACATTCATGCTTTTCAAATACCAGTTTAACCAGATTATCTCCTCAATTCATCATCGAATCACTGTTTTGAGACTACAACATGTTCTGTTTTATGGTGATATGCCAGTGTGCATCTGATCTCATCAAATTCTGTTTCTGATGGGGAAATTATCTTACAAAAAATAATATTACTCAATCTTGGTTTTAATTTCTGCATGCTTGGAGAGGAAGAAAATCCTATGTGGTATTTCATCCTGTCAATGGTAATCTTTCTCCTCAGTGCTGTATCTCCAAATAGCAGATATGTGCTTTATTGCAGCATTGGTCCTCTATAGCACAGCACAATGTTTTGGCAGGAGCAAACAATTTATTGTATTAGAGTCAAATACAATCAAATGTTCCTTTTCCTATGAAGCACGGTCAGATATTGATATTGCATTAGCTAACGTTTTAACATAGGAGAGGCTTAATAAGATACAGTATTACTCTCTCAAGGCTGTTTAATTAAACTAAACAGTCACTGTGTATTGTACATTGGTTTTCTGCCAAGGGAAAGTAAATCTGTATCATATTAGTTTCACATACCAAATGATGTTCTCCCCCATCAGAGACTCTCTAGAAGAGCTGACGCTGCTGTCACGTGAACTGCATAATACAAACTGGATTTGTATTACACTGAACTGTCTTGTAGCTCGGTATTCTTCAGCAGCCTGTGCAAGCTTTGGGTGCAGATGAGACTGAGGGGTACAAGGCTAAGCATGGTAATCCCTGTCCTGATAACAGAGCTCTTCTCCATCCCCCTGCTGGGGCAGGGAGATCTGAGCTGTAACCCTCCGGTCATCAGGAAGGTTCTTACTGGCCCTGAGGAAGCCAAACAACAGTGTTGGGTTTCTCATTGTCTAGCCACAGAGCACCATTTCAAGACCAGAACCTGCAAGAGTTTGGGGAACCTTTGGATGTTACAGTGACATCTGCTCTGGAAGCACTTCTTAGTACTGGGTGTTGCCTTCTCCTTGCTGTCAATCACTGTACACAGTGATCAAGGTGAACATTTGCTCTTTGCCATTGATGGCAGGGGAAGTACTATGACTTAGATAAGATGTGAGGAAAAAGATGTGTCCCTGGACTGGAGAACTGAGCAGTGTTTCCTTACAGAGGCTTCTGACACTGAATTCCCAATCCAGGAAGGGTATGGGGAGAGCAGGGGCTCCTGTGTTAGGGAGTCCTGGTGTTTTCTTTCAAAGCAAAAGCTGATGCAGAATCATGTGGGAACCTACAAGCAGAAAGGCATTGAAGGCACTTGCTTTTGGGATTTATTCTGCTAAATTACTGCTACAAAGCAGAGTAAGAAAAAAACATCTGCATTATTTCCTTATAAACCAAAATAAACTGCACAGTAAATACTGGTGGTCTTTACACAATTTGGAGCCTGTCTTTCCTGGCAGAATGCACGTTGAGGCAGAACTGTGCAGAGGTGGCAAAGCTATGCCCAGACAATCATGCTCTAGAACTGGAAGGTAATTTTATCAGTGATGCTACACAAAGGATAAAGTTTGTCTCTATTTTGCAGTGTCCTGTGCTGCATAAATGTTCCAGCCTTGTCAGAACAGGTAAAGAAATATCAGTCACGGTCCTGTGTCACATCTCACATGCACCCACAAAGAGGTGAGAACGTTTGGATGCATCAAAGCAAGGTCTTTAGCATGGCTCTCTGATTCTGGCACCGTGGTTAGGTTCAAGCATGGCAATGTTGGATTTATGGGAGACTTCACCTGCATGACACAGTTATGATTTATCTCACACTGAATGTTTTGTTGTTGTTGTTGTTGCTTTCCATCAACAGAAGATTAACCTGGAGTTCTATATTGACATCCATGCCCACTCCACCATGATGAATGGCTTCATGTATGGGAACATCTTTGAAGATGAGGAAAGATTTCAGCGGCAGGCTGTTTTTCCCAAGCTACTATGTCAGAATGCTGAAGACTTCTCTTATGTAAGCAATGCTTTTCTTAATGACTTTTTTCCTAATTTATTTTTAAATTCTAAGTCTCTGGCTTAATTGGATTGTGTGAATTTTAATACGAATAGAAGGCTACTTAAAATTTTTGTCAGTATTAGCTACCATTTTCCCTCTTATATTTACCTCATCCAAAAGTGGTAAATTGTAACATCATGTATTTTCATTAGATATATGAACAGAAGCAGGTTCTTCATCTTCTTTATTATAACCTTCAGTTCTGAATTATTGGTACACAGTTTTTATCAGAGGACTTTTTATCCTTTTATCAACTGGATCAGCTTTATTGTTTCATTATTAAAATTACATTATATTGGCCTTTTGTTGTTTTATATGTACACTTTAAACTAAATACCATGATAACAGATAGAAGTAAAACTATTAAACTTGAAAGAAAAGATTAGATAATTTTCTGTTCAAAGTTTTGACAGAGGCAATGTATACTTTTGAAATTCTTTCATGGAAAACTGTTCTGCAAAAAAAAAAATCTGCAAATGCTCAATATGTGTAAATTGGAAGAAAGTATGTGTGTAGGTATCTCTGAATATTGGAAATAACAGTAAACTCCTATAAATGAGTTGGAAAGGCGTGTATCTTTTTAGAGCAAGCTTCGTACAGAGTAAACAGATTCTTAGAACACATTGGTTATGGTGGCTCTGCAGAAGTCAGTAGATTTGAGACTCTGGTCCAGTGTGTTGCAACTCTTTGTCCAAGAATGACATCCTGACCCTTCCATCACCTCTTCCATGCATCAGTTTTTCTTGAAAGCTGTGCAAGTAGAACAGGAATATTCATAAATACATCTTAGCCAAGGCTGTGGGAAGGAAAGGCAGTGGATGACATTTAACACCTATACAGTGGGAACAGGCTTGATTAAAAATGGCTTTGGAATCCTGCACCAAGCAGAGAGGAGCAGAAGAGCTTACTGTTTGGGTCCTGATTTTATGTTTGTTATGTTCTTAACCCTCTTTGTTACCCTCCATACGTTTTCCTAGTCTTTGGTGACCCCTTTTTGCTTATAGTTCTTCCTCTTGGTACTGAGAGGTGGTGGGTAGAGAAGGATAGGGACCCTGCAGCATTCCATATGTTTAGCTCTAGAGAACCAAAACCTAAAAACAGATACAAAACCAGATGAGTCTGCACAGCAAAAGAAACTGTAACTGGAAAAAAGTCCATTTCCAAAATGGCAAGAATGCTAGCCTAAAGCTTTCTCATCCAGACACAGTAGATATTTTTTTTTGTCTTGTGTTTGTGCACATTGCACCTTGGAGTTTGAATGGGAAGTGAGTACAGAAATGAAGTTGTGCCACAGTTTTCTTGACAGAACCCTTCCATTAAAAGGAAGGAGGAAATGAAACCACCTGATTCCTATCCATTTCTCTATTCTATGGTAGTTTGATTTTTCCAAGAGTGGGAAAAAGTTTGGATCAGTCTCTGACTTTTCTAAGGCTAGGCAGAAGATATCCTTTCCTCTGTCTTTTCTATTCCAGGATGGGGGGCTCTAGCAGACCAAACATTTCCCTTTTCTTCTTGGGATTAGCAATGGCAGCTGGCTGGGTAATGCTTGGGAGGATGTGTGGCTGCTGCTGCTTCCTCTGGTGTCTTCATCGTCTTGTTTAACCATTGTCAGTCTTGCTTAACCAGCGTCTGTATGTTTTGGGGGTGCAGGGGACTGCTGCAGCATGAAGATTTCTGCAGTGAGCCACAGCAAAGGCTTCTCAGAAAACTGTCCAAAGTGCAGAAGATTGAATCCATATTAAATGAGGAAGGGCAGCAGCTGCGTCTCTTCCCAGCTGCTTGGAGTCTGGGGAAGAGGGAGTGGGGTTCAAGGAGCAGCCTGTTCTTGTCTGAGGAGAACTCAGTGATTGAGTTTCTTATCTGCACCTGGTTGTTTCAAAAACACATTATAGATAAGGGGGCATTTACAGATCATAGCAATGAAAACCTGCAATTGATAGGAGTTTAGAAATTTTGTGCTCAAGAGTGGGATTTCTCTCTATTACTGTGGGAGATTAAGTGTTCCTCTTAGCACAAGCCTCGGTTGACAAAGGGAAAATCTTCGAGAAAATGATGTAGGAAATAGAAGCCAATAGCTAAATAAACAGCACAGTCTCTCCCCTTTGACTCTCAATCTCCTTTCTGTGAAGTGGGCAATTGGATATTTATGTTGGCATCCAGTGCACCACAGCACGACCTAGGTGCTGCTGACACTCTGTACACTGGGCTTTCAACTCACATCCTACTGGTCACTTAGTACCCAAAGCTTTTCCCTGCCTTTCTTCCAAGCCATTCTTCTCAAGGTGGCTGAGGAGATAGAAGAGTTGGAAAAGGAGACAGCCGCAGTGTCCAGCACGTGTGAAGAAAAAGGAGTGAATATTACTGCTGTCTCCAAGTGGGAAAGTCTCTGCTGTGTGGTTTTCAGCTCCAGCCATGTGGGTTATGTGACTGCTTGGAAATATTAGGGGTGATGTTTCCCGCTGGAAAGAGAGGAAAGGAATCCAGAGCTTCCTGCATCTAAAAAGGTGTGGGGGGGAAAGTGTTGAAGATTAAAGATAGTGTATGTAAATATGCCCTATTGACTGCTCAAAGGGAAGGGGGGAAGTGAATCGTTAACGATACCAGGCTGGTGTTTGAAAGTGTGGGAATGGACCACTGTTGTTACTAATTAATTTTCCAAAGCTTCAGGAGGTCTCATTTACATTGTATGCTGCTGCGGCCATTTGTTGGGATTATAATACTTCAACAGCAGCACTTCAAGTGAAAACTGGCGGCTGCATGAAGTGTTGTCCATAATTGACTAGCTCCATGTCTTCACACAGCACAGAGACAATGTTCCATTATGTTATCCATTGACAGTATCATTGAAAAGATTACTCTCCTTAAAGCATCTGTCAACCTTGATTGATTTACAAGGGACAAAGAACTGAAAAGGTTTGAAGTGCGGGTACAATTTTTGCCACCGTTTAGCATACATAATGGCTCTCCTTTGATGTCAAAAGCTCATCTTCTATTAATAATGCAGAGGGCTTTTGAATGCAGGCTACTTGTATGGAGTTCCACACTAATAACCTACTTGCTGTGAAATGGGATTCACTTTGGAGAAGCAGTCATTTGTCTGGGTTTTACATGTTCGGAATGAATCCCGGCTCAAAGGGATTTCTTTCAGTGCTCCGCATGATTGCAGCTGAGCCCGGCCCGGGTTAGGGGAAGGAGGCAAATCCTAACCTGCTCCTCCAGCCAGGAATCTGGCAGAAATCACGCAGCCAGATGCAAAGGAGCATGAACAACAAGCCCAAGACGATCAAATGCCTTGTGCCGGTTTGTCTGGCAACCTTCTATTAATATACTTTAGAGTGCATTTCATGCCTGGGCTGCTTTCTTCACCTGTCATTTCCAATAGGCCTTTTTATTTAAATGACAGCATCAAGGGAGATTGGTGATTCAAGGAGGGGATGGATAGGGGATTTGTGCCTGCTTGCCTGTTGTACCACCAAAGGCAAGTCACCCAGTGCCTCTGTACCCTATCTGTTGAGCGGACCACTTAACCTCACAGTGCTCTAGAAGACTGACTGTGGTTTGCAGGTAAAAGTTGTGAAAGGGACCAGAAATCCCCCATTTGTTAACTTCAGAAACAGAGGCCTGCCTTTGGTCTAGCTGTCAGCATGTGAAGAGGGAGGTGAAAGAAGAGCTAGGAAGTTTTGCTCCTAAATAAATACACAAGACATTCTTGGGCAGCAAGGATAAATTCTGTAAGGAAAACATTCCGTATTTTTAAGTTTTGAAAAGAATATTTTTAAACATTGGAGAGTAAATATAATCCATATAAAAGCTCTTATAGTGAGAGCTGACAGGCTCTTTTGAAAGGCTGACTCATTGCATTTTAGGAGCAGCTGTTGACGCCACGTCTGTGTGCCTTGCACATCAGCCATGGCTAGAAGTATTTGGAGGGCTGTTCTTCATTTGACCTTTCTTGTTCTGGAAAGTGGATTAGTCACAACGACCAGATACAAGCAGTTGAGCATTTCAAGAACCTGCTAGTCTTAGGGGTGGCTAATTTTGACCTTTGCGACAGTGTGAGAGGAGACCATCTGTTCCCTCTGGTTCACTTAAAAGAAACAACCACAGCCATTCTTGGATGGCTTTATCACTTCATAAAGATTGCGGTTTTTTGCAGTTAAAAGAAAAAGACAGGCCAGAGGTACTTGGCTTAATTTTACTGGTTGTTTTCCTTTGGTTTCTGAACTGGTAGTACTGGGGATGCCTTTGAGTTCTTATCTTACTGTCCTGTATCCAACCTCCCAGCAAAGCACCTTCCTGAAAAATACTGCTTGCCATCCTTGGTTAGCCAGAAACCCTGATAAAAACTTGGGGTGTCACTATGTTGGGCACTGGGTAACTACTGAGAAAGTTGACAAATCCAAGTGCTTCCAGTCATGCTGAGAAAGAGGCACAGCATGGATGAGGAGAGACTTGCTTGAGGAAAACAAAGAATAAAACCCAGGTCTCCAAAGTGCGAGTCTGATCTCTTTGTAAGCAGTTCCCTGTGTTTTATACCATGCTGCATGCTCAACAGTGAGGTCTCTAAACAACAGCTCACCCAGTTTCCTTTAGGGAAACATGTTGTTAACCTGAGTGCCATAACATAGTGACCTAAAACATATTTTTGAGACTATCGTTGTCTCAGCTATATGAGAAAATTCAGATATGGAATGGTGTGCCCTGCTACCTTCTGTTGTGATTGATTGTTTTGTTTTGGCTTTTTTTGCCTGGATATCTAAAACTGAGCAACTAAGGAAAAGATTTTTATCTATCTATATTTTCTTTTGTTTTCCTTTTATCAACATACTCCAGGTCTGTTCTTCTCTTTTCCACAGCATTCCCCTCATCCATCCCAGCTTTCTTAGGGAAAATGTGTTCCTTCCAGCAAACATCTTCCAGTGTACTCATGGCAGCCTTATTGGGCTGTTATCACTAAT